ATGCCCAGTCATTTTGAGAATTCTACTTGTTAGAAATCTGGAGTGACACATTTTTTAAAATTAAAGTCAGTTAAAATTAATTTTGCTCTCCTGTTTTTGTTGGCAGAAACTGACAATCCAAGATGGACAAGCAAACCAAATTAAATACTTTGAAAATGCAAGTAAAAATTTGAGGGCATCAAATGGTGTGTTGACTGAAAAGAGCCCTGAAACTTGCCCTCGAACCCACACCCGTGTGGTCAATCAACAAACATATTCATGCAGTTGGACTTCCTGTGTCTCAGGAGGAAACATGATTGAGTTACTTTGTTTATGCAAAATTCGGTGTAACCCTCTTCTAGAGCCCTGTGCCTCTGAAATTCTATTTGCCAAAATAATGGTCAGGAGCAGTTTGTGTTCACAAAACCGATCTCACTGTTTCCCTAAAATCAAATATTCCGTGACAGATTTTATCCCCAAATTCGGAGGAAAAAATGAGAAGAATGCAAAGATTAATCCTCGGAGGCCCTTCAATAAGCCTTTCCTCCCCCATTTTCTGTTTGCTTTTTAAATTTTTTATTCAGAGAACAATAGGTGAGTCCTTCTGTGGATAATTAAGACACATGTAAATTGAAATTCTAAGGCCAGTAATTAAACTGAGGAGCTCACTGGGTGATGCTTACTTTTTAGCTCCCAGATTGTGAGAGTTCAGTTCCTCTTCAAGCTGTGCTTGCTTTCTTTCTTTTTAAATTTTTTTTTTCAATCACAGAGATTAAAGCAGCCCGAGTTTTACAATAGCATCTTGTGCAAGAAGAGGCAGGGAGATTCATGGTGGTTTTAGTAAATGATGCACTTTGATGTCTCCAACTTAAAATCCGCATTTTGAGAGCCCCAATGTATCTAATAGTATTTGGAATGAAATCTTAAGCCCCGAAGCAGGGGCCGCTTGCAGAGAGAAGTGCCTGTGGAAAGTGGTTGTTAACATTCACCTCACATCTCACCATGGTCTCACAACAAAGCACTTCCTCCCCTCTCTCTGTGAAGTTCGTGTGGTAGATGTATCACATGCTCATGGTGCATCTACTCTTCTTTTTTTCGGCTGCTGTCCACAAAATTAATTAATAGGTGCTAACCTTGGCTTGAGGCTTTGGGCATTTATTCTGGGTAAGAAAAGGTAGAAAGAGGAAAAAGACTTTCCAGGAACACCACTGTTTTGTATAAAACCCTGGAGCCTTTTAAGAGCCCCTCTTCTGACCATCAGAAATATCTGTGAGATCTAGCTGTTGTTAAGGATGTATGTCATTCGGTTAAAATCTGTTGGTTTCACTAGTTTGCTTTCAGGTGCAGGTGCTGTGATGCCATTCTAGAAATGTCATGGCCCTTTGTCTGTATTCACAGGCTCCTGTGTAGCAAGAAGCTCCGGAATTCAATAAATATTGAAATACAAGAATAGATTTCAAGAATTACTCTCTTGCTAAAATCTCAACAAAATTCTCTTTGTTCCAGTGAGCCCCATAGATCACACAGGGCGTTTGCACCCAGTGGGGTCTCTGTAGCTCTTGTTTCTTCTGCTATCACATTGAGTTTATGATGTCATAAGTGGTTACCATGGAGGTAATTGTCATGATGTGGGAGATGTGTGAATTCAGGTGTGGAGAAAGTCAGCCTCTGAGAGATGGGTCTTTGAGAAAAAAGAGGAGTCCCCTTTCACCCCATCTTCCTGAGTAGCAAAAGGGTGAAGCAGAAAAAGGGGGAGGAATGGAAATATGAAAACTGAAAATTAGCTTTAGAATGGCATGCATTTTATGCCTTATATGACATATTGGAAAGTCTTCCATTTGTTTACTTTTTAAAATTATATTTCGATCACCTATCTTGTAGTACAGTGTTAAAAATAACTTTTGTGTTCTTTCCTGGAGAAAAATATACGACTTGTGATAGCAGAAGAGAATACTATAGTATGAAGTCCAAGTTGAACAGGGAAATCTTTTGAATGATAAACCAGGAAGCTCAAAGGTGATTTGCTTTTGTCCTGTTGGGGGGTGGGGCTGGAGTGGGGGTGGCAGCGGAAGGCTGCTGCAATCTGCAAACCACTACAAAATAAGATAGAGCCAAGCTAACAATGCAGCCAGACTGGCTTACTGCTGGCATTTGACAAGCTAAGGAAATGAGACTGCAGAAATCCACAGGGAATTATTTCTTCTTCATGTTAATGAAGTACCGTACGTTTCTTTCTTGGGATGAGGGGTGGTGGGGGGTGAGGGCATGGGTGCTGCTGAGCAAGTATTTTAAGGAAATGATCTAGAATCCCCTGCCTCTGCCTTGGCATAATCAATGTCATTACTGCTTGTTTGGAAGCTTTGTCTTTTCTTGGAAAGGACCCAGGACTGGCAGATTCAAGTCGTCAGTGTGGTGACTGTGAAAGAGGGAGGCTGCCAAGCCAAATGCAGAGAGTCTCAGCGCCCTTGAGCCCTGGATCCTGAATCAGAGACCCGGGTTCCAGTCCCAGCTTGGCTTTTGTGGATTTTCTCTTTGACCCTCATCAAAGCCCTTACGTACTCTGTTTTCTCATCCTACTAATCAAATGATACTATTGTAAAAATAAACATATTGGTCATATGCAAGTGATTAGACAGCATTTGGGGTTCCATGTCAGCACAGAGATAGATAATTGTTTTTTCCTCCAGTGGTATCCTTCATGGACTTTCAGGGTGCAGGTGAGCTCTTTGGGGAGCATTGATGCTGATAGCCAACTCTCCCTGGCATTGGTTTATTGGTTTGGGGAAAAGAGAGTATAATAGGGTTTCTCCAGAGGGAAAAAAAAACACAATAGGATTATCTATCTATCTATCTATCTATCTATCTATCTATCTACTTACCTATCTCTTTCTATCCAGTCTAAGATTTATTATGAGGAATTGGCTCATGTGACTATGGAAGCTGAGAAGTCTCATGATCTGCTGCCTGCAAGCTGGAGACCCAGGAGAGCCAGTGGTGTAATTCAGACTGAATCTGAGGGTCTGAGAACCAGGGGAGTCAAAGATGTAAATCCCAGTTTGAGGGCAGGGAAGATGAAATAAGGTATACTAGTTTAAGCAATGAGGTGGGGGGGGGGTGGAAAGGGACAAATTCCTCCTCTACCTTTTGTTTATTCAAGTGCTGAGTGGATTGGATGATGTCCACTCACATTGGGGAGGGCAGTCTACTGATTTAAAGGCTAATCTCATCCAGAAACATCTTCACAGATACACCCAGAAACAAAGTTTAATCTGGGCACTCTGAGGCCCACTCAAATTGATACCTCAAATTAACCAGCATGGGGGGTGATGTTCCTAGGCAATGCTCAGCTTCTCCAAGGTCAAGTATAAACCTCTTAGCCTGATATTTGGGGTCTTCTCCAATCACTTCCCAACCAAACTTCTCAGTCTCATTTCTTTACTCCATCAGGTATATGCTTCACCCTAGTCAAACCTCATTTGTCACCGGACATACCTCTAGCCTTCTTTGCAGTTGCTCCTTCTCCTCATACCCAGTCAATTCTACCCATTCCCTGGCTCACTCATCCTCTCTTGACCCCCTCCTTGTGAATAACACCTTACTGGTGTCATATATGTGTTGTGCATGGTGTGCACTGCACAAGGACATCTATCCAGGGAAGGAGGGACAGAGGCTTAAATACAGCCAAATCGTATGACCCACTGAGGAGCTGTGTCTACTTAGAGGAAGAGTATCTTTTTCCAGTTGAAAAAAAGCACTGCAGAAGGTGGGGTGGCTCTTTATATACTGATAGAATTAACTTCATCTATCTTTGTCCTTTATTTTCTTGAGATTATAAACTGCTTATGGAATCAGGCTTTGATTTTCTTCGAGATAATCACATGAAATAACACACAACTTTGTTTTGAATTATAACCAGAGCACTGGTTCTGAGTAAGAGGCTGTGCTAAAAGTTCTTTAAGGACAGAGCTTACCCATCTCTTTATCTGTTAGTGCCTTTCACATAAGATGTCTTTAACAAAAGAGAAATACATACCCAATAAATACCTGATTGGTCACGTATTTATAGTAACAGTAGGAAAATATCCATACCACTGTCTTTTAAGAATTTTTCAAAACCTGTCTTGGTTTATTGGAAATAAAGCTAGGAATGAGACCATTTTCCTCTGAGGACTCTGAGAACAGTTTTTAGTTGGGGCTCTTGGATCTGGGCCTGCATTCTCTTCTACAGAGCAGCATTGCACTAGGGCTTTGTGATGGGCTAGAGAAGTGGGCCTGTATCTTCCTGATTACTCAGGAGCCAGGCTCTTCTCCATGTGCTGAGGATCTCAGGAGGAGAGCCACGTGTCTACCCTCAAGGTGTTCCTGTATCATTAGTGGGGAAGACATGTATGAAAGTGGCCATACAATGACACAAGAGGCTCTACGGCAGCAGGAGGGGGTCCAGAGGCCTGAGGGGTTCTAGGAGGCAGCAGAGACCTGCTTTCCTTTCTAGGAGCAGGCATAAGTGGAGTGATTGGAGAGAGGTGACCATGAATGGTGGCATAAAGGGATCTCATTTGCATCCACATCCTCTATTAAGCCATGTGCAGATGGCTCTGGACACATACATCTCCATCCCAGACCCATCTATCACTGGTCTTTCCACTTGGAGGCTTCAGAGGCTCCCTAAAGCCATTATGTCCCAAACTAATGTCAGGATCTTTTTACCCAAATCTGGTTATCTTCCAGTGTTCCCTCTTTCCATCTGTCTGGTTTAGTAAACTCTGGTTTGGCAAATTCATTTGCTTGACTCACTCTTCACTCCTAGCTCTCCACTTCCAGTTTACAGCCATATCTCTTGCCTGAGCTGAATGCTGTTCCCACCTTCCCGGACCCCCACATCCACTCTGGACTGTCCAGCCCCTTCTCTGCACAGCAGCTGGAGTGAGCATTTCAAAATGCAAATCTGATTATGTCCCCTGTTCCCCAGACTGCCCTCCTTCCCTGCTCAAAACCTCTTTATGTTTTCTCATTTTCCTTAGGATGAAGACCCATATATCCTGAGTGGAGCCTCAAAGAACCCTTCTAATCTGACCCCTGGAGACTTTTCCAGCTCCATCGAGGACCAGCACCCTCAGCTCTTTCTTCAGTGTGTGGGCCTTCTTCCTGCTTCTCACCAGCCCAGGCCCAGGCAGCTCCCTCTTCCAGGAATCCTCTCTTCTGTGGTGACTGCCACACCTACCCCATTTGCCTAATTCATCCCTTCTCATTTTCCACATATCAGCTCAAATATCACTTCTTCAGGGAAGCCTTCTCTGATCCCCAGGCCACTTTAGCCCTTCTTCCTTGTACATCTTTGAGCACTTTTCCTTATCAGGCATCACAGTTTGTGATATATTTTTGTGGTTATTTGTTTGATGTCTATTTTCCCTGGGGTGCCTGGTGGGATTTGCTCTCTACTCCATGTCTTGTGCCCAGCACACTGCCTGGTACACCTTACACACTCTATTAGGCATACAGTGGCTGAATGAATGCACGAAGGTTGTTCAGGGTTGGAGGGGCCTGCAGTGTTGGCTCCAGGGGAGGAAGTAACCAGAAGTGAGTTTGGGAACAAGCTCTTATCCTCTGGAATGGGGGTGCTGTGCACCCCCTAACACAAAGATATGACAGGCCAAGAGCTATGTTTTAGAACATAAGCTCTGAGATGTATCTTGCGTGGAGGGCAAAGGGTCTTGGAATAGGAAGCCATGTTAGGAGGCATCTGATGAAGATGGCAGTGGTAGGAGAAATGGACAGGTGGGTGCAAATGCTTTCAGTGTCTCCCATTTCCATCCCCCATCCCAATAAGAACAGCAGGAGTAGATCAAAGGGCTCTACATGATTTCAGCATGATTTAATTTACTTGACCTGAATGTTTCTGGTGTATGGGGAAAGCATGAGAAGGGGCTTGGAATTGGCCAGATAGTAGGCAGTGTGGTGGAGTCATGAATCTGTAGATCTTCTTTCCCAGGCAAAAGTGGGAAGGTTGAGATGAAAGGTCACTCTTAGGACCTGCTGTCCTGAGCTTATGGGGAGATGTTGTGTGAGGGCGCATGAAATCCAGGGAACTTCCTTTTGGGCCAGACAGATTTGGTCCCCCTCTTCTTGTCCTGATCTGCAAAGTCTGTCATGGCAGCCTGTCTTAACCGAGACTCCATGGGTGTCTTTCAGTGGAGGATATTTTGAGAGGGGGAGAGTATGGAAAGCAGAGTAGTCCCAGGACCAGAGAGACACATAATGAAGGGTATTTGCCCCAGCCTGGGGCCACATCTCCTATCTTGCTTATTCTTTTTTATGATTATTCTCATCTGAATCACAACGACAGCACCTATATAAACTAGGTTTATATAATGGATTGCTTTACTGTTTCACCATGGCTGCGGTGAATAGACCACAATGCTGAATGCCACTAAATTTTAGCTTTTTGCAAATGTCCTTTGGGGGTCTAGCATCCCCTTCTAGAATGTGACCAAGATAATATTAGTGTGCTAACAGTGTTCATACCTAATGTATCTTATGTCATTGGACATTTTTAAACTACAAGCAGGGTTGTAATATGCCAGTTGTGTGTTGTGTGTTGTCCAATTCTGGCTGGCACCACTCATGTAGACTCCCATAGGAATGACACCCGCTGAGGTGTGCAGGGTGGCAACCCAGTCCATGAAGTGTGCAAGGCAGGCACTAGCCTTGTTTTGCTGGCTCCGAATGGTGATATGCCTTGTTCTTGTGATGAGCTAAATGTTGTTACTAAGCTAGGGCCCAGCTTCTGAATCTAAATCCAGTTTTAATTTTGCTACATCTCCCAGCTGATCACTGCTTGAGCAAATGAGTGAATGGAGAGAGACAAAGCCTCTGATCAGGAGCCCCTGCAGGGTTGTGATTTGTTCTGAAGGTCCCTAAGTGCTTGCCCTAATCTGCAGTTCATCTACCTGGACCTCATCTGTTCTCATTGTGCATTTGCCCACATGGTGGGCCCCAGATGATGTGGCCTTGTTGTTTTTCTGCCTCCCATTCTGAACCGCTTTTATCTTTCTGGTACACAAGGCCACGCCTCCCCTGCCTGCCCTGTTCCCTCAGGACCTTGCTTCCAGGTACTACTAGGTCATCCTCTCCCACAAGGTGTTCATTAATAAAGTGGACGATTATAATTTCAGTAGGGAGCTGAAAAAGATAAAACAGCCTCTAAAGCACAAAGGAGTTACCCTATGTAAGGATAGAGTAACTATGCTGGCTGGGTGGGAGAGTCGTGAATCTGTAGGTTTTTTATGAAAAAGAGCCTGAAAGGACCTCAACAATCACATAATGCAGATGAGGAAACAGAGGCCACAAGAGTTAGTGGATTTGTTGGGACAGGACTGGGGTTTTCCATTATGCTGTGTTTCCACCAGTCATTTGAGCTGGGGTCCTCCCTGATTATCTTTTCTATCTTACATGACCACAGGTGGCCCTGCATTTAAGCCATCTCTGTCCCATCAGTGTTTGGGAAAGCAGGAGGATCATGTCAAGGGGACAGAGAGCTTGGTCAGTGGTGTCCTTGGACCCTGGCTTGACCCCAGGATCCATGCTTTTAAATGCCATTATGAAATGCAGTCCGTCTAGAGCTCAATGCCTTTTGCCGTCAGACTAATGCAGCCTTGGTGGAGGGGCAGCAGGGGGGAGGCTGGCTGCCCAGCAATCTCCTGGAGCCCGGGAGAGGGATTATGCTTGCTCAGGCAGCCTCATCACTGTAATAAAAATGGGAGTTATGTTTATCGACTCATCATGACTGCCCATTTAGACGATTACCCCATTTCCAATCCCATTTCTAGAGAAAAGAGGATTGCCAGACACTTCCTCCTGCCCCCACCCCTGGCGGGGCCCTGACTGTGGTCTCACAGGCTGGGATGAGGGTAGGGGTATGTGTTGGAGGTAGGCACGCAGCAGGCTGTGAGCTTTGCCCTCTTTGTCTTCCAGAGCTGGCAAGCCACAGGGGGATGGCTGTCCCCTGAGAGATAGGAGAGGACCAGAAACGGCCCAGCAGGGGCCTGGAGCAGCTGGCTGGCGTCAATAATTTCCTGTAGGAGATTTTGCTGGCCTGGTACACATCACCCTGCTGTTGCCCCTCTGTCTTCTCCCACGTGCTGCTAAAATAAACTAAAGCAACCCTTGGGCTGTGCTCACGTAAATGCCATTATTTAACCTCATCTCATCTCTGTGGAGCCCAGGTATAAAACAGCATCACCTACTTGGAATAAGATGGAGGAGTAAGAGGAGTAAGACAAATGGATCCCCCCCTCCCCCCGCCAGCAGCTGGAATATACATAACAAAGTTTCTCTTTCCACACAGAAGAGTCTTTTGGGCCCTGGCTCAGCGACCATTGACTCTTACTTAACACATAGCCCTAATTAGCTTGATAGGCTGCTTTCTGACATTTGAGCAGATTGGAAGTGGGAATTAAAGATGGGAAGAAGCTGGAGCCAACAGTTAAGAGCTAGACCAGGGATGTGACATCTGTGGGGACAACTGTGGATGGGAATCCTATTCAAAGGGGAATGTTGGATGAATAGCTTGGAAGGTCTCTTCTAGCCTTTCAGTTTGTGGCTCTGACTGTCTGATTTGACTGTGATGATGAGGAACAGGGAAAGGGGAAGGGGACTTCTTGGAGGGAGCTGGTACCCAGCAGGAAATGTTAACTTGTGTTTTGGGGAGGCCCTGAGTTTTGGTGCTCAGAAGTACTCACCTGCTTTTGTGGGAGTCTTCCAGATACAGTGTCTGCTCTTGATCCTCCTTTATTATTTGCCAGCCAGAGTGAATTCTTGTGGATGTTTCTTTTTTTTTTTTTAAATTTTTATTTATTTATGATAGTCACACACACACACACACACAGAGAGAGAGAGAGAGAGAGAGAGGCAGAGACACAGGCAGAGGGAGAAGCAGGCTCCATGCACCGGGAGCCCGACGTGGGATTCGATCCCTGGTCTCCAGGATCGTGCCCTGGGCCAAAGGCAGGCGCTAAACCGCTGCGCCACCCAGGGTTCCCTTTGTGGATGTTTCTACAAAGAATTTTGTGAGACATCAGAGTGTAATGATAGACATGGCCTTGCCATTGGACAGGCCAATGTTCAGATCCTGGCTGCCCATAAAGCTAGCCAGGTAATGAGTAAAATCATTGAGCCTCAGTTTCCTTATCTGTCTATCTACTGTATACATTCTGCATCATGCAGCCTCTTGCCTATAGCCCTTCCCTAGCTCCCCGCTGCTCTACTGTTCTCAGGGTGAACTCCTTCCCAGACAACAGTTTTCAGGACCCTCAGTAAAACTTGACTTTCAGACAAATAACAAATAATTTTTTAGTGCAATTATGTTTCAAGTTCTAAAAAAATTTAGTGGTTTATCTGAAATTCAGATTTAACTGTGAATCCTGTATTTTGAAATGAACTTTTTTTTTATTTATGATAGTCACACACACACACACACACACACAGAGAGAGGCAGAGACATAGGCAGAGGGAGAAGCAGGCTCCACGCACCAGGAACCCGACGTGGGATTCGATCCCGGGTCTCCAGGATTGTGCCCTGGGCCAAAAGCAGGTGCCAAATCGCTGTGCCACCCAGGGATCCCTGAAATGAACTTTTTATTTTAGAATTGTTTAGACAATTTGTCTAAATACCTAGACAAATTGTGAAGCTAATACAGAGAGTTCCCATATACGTTAATATCTTATATCAGTGTGATACTATGTCACAATTAATAAACTAATGTTGAAAGATTACCATTACCTAAAGTCCCAACTTTATTAGATTTCCTTAGTTTTCTCCTAATACCATTTTTCTGTTCCTAGACCCTGTCTGGGATAGCATATCACATTTAGCCATCTTGCTTCCTTAGGCTCCTCCTGGCTGTGACAGTTTGACAGACATTCCCTGTTTTTGATGACCTTGACAGTTTTGAGGAGCAGTGGTCAGGAGTTTTGTAGGATGTCCCTCAATGTGGGGCTGTCTGATGTTTTTCTCATGATTAGTCTGGGGTAGTGTGTTTTGGGGAGGAGGACAACAAAGGCAAAATACTATTCTCACACGGTCATGTTACTGATATGTACTATCCACATGACTTATCACTGTCAATGTTGACCTGGATCACCTGGCTAAAGTAGTGTTCATCAGGTTTAGCATCCTATATTTTTATTTGCTGAATCTGATAACTATTCCAGGCCAATGAATCCTTCATGACCAAAAGACAGAAAGATCTGTATTTCTTACTGGCTTACTACTACAGACTTTTTCTGCTCCAACCTTAGAACTGCTGGCAATTCCTCTACTGAACTAGTCTCCATCTCTCTCACTGCCAGGCCTTAGTGCTTGCTTTTTCCTCTGTC